TCAGATAAAAGTTGAATCTCTGTCAGCTATTTTGAATGAATTCATCACAGAACTCGTATCGGATGCGTCTTTAAATTATTTTTTACGAGAGAGACCCTACTTTTATATTAATTAATTTATCTGTTAGATGTCGTAGCAGGCAGAAAAGAAAGCATGCCGAGATTCAGCCGACTAATTAGACTGATTGTGAGAATGCTCGGATATTTTAGGTTATGTTCTGACAAACGTACAGGGCGGAATCCGCTCGATCACCAACTTATCAAAGCAATAATATGTGAAAATCGCGAGGGACTCCGAGGTTTGTCACGTAACATGTAGCTGAATTGATCAGAGCGAACATTAAACAGTCGTTCGCGAAACGAGAGACTTTAATGACTGAAGACTCGATTAGAAAGGTTATGTTATTGAGTTGGCCGTCGACGTGATAGCCCGTCCGTTTGTTCGTTTCGTGATCCGTGATATGATTTCTAAGTCATGATGAATAACTCGAACAATAAAGAGACTATAAATCTCCTTGACCTACTGTCAGACACCGATTCCGACGTGTCGGACTTGGTGTTCACGCCGAAGAAGAAGAAAGTCAAACGGTAATCAAACACGATACTACTATTCTAAGATCAAGCATTTCGACGATTTATAAAATAATCGCGTTACGTTACAGGAAGCACAGACCAGGAGGTATGGCAAAAACGAGAGAGAACAATTCGTGTGGCTGTAGCAAGTCGGACATGAGGATCCTATCTCTGTGGCTAGCAGCGGTTTTAATTACTTTCTGGTTGATAACACTCTCCTGGTTGGCCGTTATCTTGTACGGGGAGATTAAAAAAATGGATAATTCCATAAAATCAGGTAAATACATATCGTTTCTATATGTGCATCATCGATCCCCGATTGAAGTCGACGGTCGAGATTGATGATCATTAAATGTGCTCTGTGCCGCTTTCATTCTGGAACTAATACCGGATCTCGAATATAAACGATCGAGCTATTGCTGCAATAGAGACGATTTTATTTGCGCTTCTACCGCTTTGAAGTAACAGAAATTCTAATTTAATGCTGACACGTTTATAAGCTGTTCGATTCAATGCTCATATCATCTTATACATTGACAGACCGTGAGGAATGATTACGTGAATAATTGTGGAAAAAGTTTCGCTAATAAAAAGTTCATCGGCTCGCCGAGTTTATCTACGAGTCGCGCGATTAAACTGAAATAGGTGCAATATCCTTGGATCTCCAATATACAAATGTCTATTTTCGCTGTTTCCAACGCGTCGTAAATTTAGATCGTCGTTGACTATGAACCAAAGTGTATCCGATGGGAAACACGAGAGAGCACGGACGGAATCAAATACTGAATATATAAGAAACAGAGAACGATGAATAAATGGTAAACAGAGAATGACACCGTTTAATTCTTTGCCCTCCACGTCGAAGCGCATCGATGAATCATTCTACGCGATCGATCGACAACATCTCAATATAGAATCCGACGATCTCGCGTTTTTATATTCTTTCAGTCAAACGTTACCCGCGGAAGATTCAATGATGTTTCGATTCTCCGGGACAGCTGATACCTCTCGAGTCTTTCATCGACCGCTTCCATCACGCGCGTAGGCGTTGCTGTTTTTTATTGCACGTTCTTTCGTCTACTTTCTTTCCGCTTCCGTATCAATTCGAAATTCCCTACACGCGGTGAATCGTTATCGCAGAAACCCCTGGCAGACAGACCGTGCAGCGGCAGCCGCGTACCGACACCAACCCCCACGGCCAGTCGATATCTTGCGCACGGCGCGAGTGGCACGCGGGTTACATCGGAGGCGTAGTCTACGTCGTTCGCGTCTTCGTTCCATCGTTTGTTTTCTACGAAACGACTCCGATCGAACGTAAATAACGATAATTAATCAAACAGAATCCCTGATTCATCGTATCGACGTGTTTCAATACGTAGATAACCGCGAATTACTACGCGCACGTTCGTGTCGTCCTTTTAATCTCGTGTGGGTCGCGAATCGATCGGAATCGTTGTATAATTTATCCCGGACGTAGGTCAAGTTCCTCTCGCGTAGCTCTGCGAAGTGCTCGTGGTCTTAAGGTCTTTTAAAGACCCGTTCGATGGTCGACAGGTGTGCGCGGGGTTCCCAATTCGTCTCGCACCGCCTATCGATTCCCAATCGTCCGGCGAACACGTAGAAGTGTCCCTAATGGAGTGACGTACGAAAAGTCGTGTGTCTGTCCCGCACGGGGGTGGAGATCGCAGGAGGTTCGCTGCGTTTTAAGTAGACTCACGAATCGTGACGACGCATACATGGTAATTCCACGGAGCCTTAAATTAACTACGCAATTTCTACGATCCTTATACGTTTTCTCAGATTCCTTCCGATCCTCGTCCTCTTCGAATCGTTCAAAATACGGATATCTCTAACAGTTATTTACTGGTTGATATAATTTATGTAGATACGATTCAGCATCGGCGTAACTCTGTTGTGATACGCAACTCAATTAGAAGCGCATACTGGCACGATATTAATTAACTATGACCTGCACATCGATCGCCCAGTTATTAGTCGCTGATCTGGATAAACGGAGATAAAACAATTGATGATCCTCGTTAACGATAACGTAAATGAACGAATGCATTGGACGTAGTTAAATTCCGTTTTGCGTTGCAAATAATACGCTTTTTCCATATTTTTAGTTATGTACGACATTCGATACGGCCCTGTGCCTGATAAGATAACGTTAACAATAAAGCGAAAATTCTCAGACTCTGATTCGGTCACTAAATTAATCATCCATCGAAAGAAGGAGCTTAAAACTTTGCTTTACTAGAACCCTGCCGCTTTCTTTTTAATCCGAAATCGTTCGATGAAAAAGTGTGCCGGACTCACGATCAGAATTTAAGCCGATAGCTCGTCATGATATCGTAAGAGTGATCGAAAATTGTGCACCGCTCCGTGACAACTTTGATCGACGATCATCGAAGTGATGTACGAATAACGATTCGATTTTCCATTAGCGCCTAATGCTTTTTTCATGCTGTTTCACAAACGTGATTCCTGACAGAATTGACGTTAATTACTAGTTCCACGATGACGATGTTTGTGTCCTCCGTTACATATTATACGAGGTCGCGCATATTTAACCGTCGTGAAATTTCCGACTCTAAAGAATAAAAGGAAACTATCAACGAAAGCTTTTAGCGCCTCGCTTTCCTTTTTCAATCTTCGGTCTTCAGAAGTCATCGAGCCAGGAAAATCGGTCCGTCGTCTTCCGGAAACGATATGTTCCTATTTATAGAAATTTGTTTGAAGAAGCTATTTTTATGAGATCTATTTTTCTTTTTCACGGGATTCTTTCTCTTTCGAAAAATGCCCGTTGTTCCTTCGATCGTCGACGTTAATGCGAATTCTTCCACACTGCTTCATAATTGAGAGACACCGAAATGAACGTCGCCTCTAATTTCAGTAGTCGTGTTCGAATCGCACCGCATCCTTCGTTTGCAGACACCCAAGAAATTCGCACTCAAGAGCGCTTACGCGATTGCGATTGGTGCAAACACGGTTCGAAACGATGTTTCGACTGGTACACTCGTACCTGACTTTGGCCGCAAACGTTCGCCAGTTAACGTCGGCGAGACTGATAAGAGAGGCCTTCAGTAGTTTCACGGCAACACTCGCCTCGTGACGTTCGCCCATACCCGATTCGTATCCTCCGCGTTGTCCAAGCCCGTGACAGTGATCCGACGTGAGTTTCGTAACTCGGCGACGTCACGTAACAACGTGGTAATTTATAGTGCAAGGTTTGCTCCTTATATCGCTCCTACAAGACGTCTCAGAGTTCAACTGCGGAGTTCAATAGCGGTCGGTTAAAAGCATTCGTCTTCCTCTTTAATTAATTCGTTCGCTGGAAGGAGTTCGCTCGTCACGTGGACGATCCCTGATGATCTCCAATGCCGATAACGAATCTCTGTATCTGAGAGTAAGTGTAAACAAGATGACAAGGGATTATGCTTTGGGAAATAATCTTCTTCGCGATCGTCCGTAATTGCGTGTCAGATCGCGTCAAAGACGGTGTATCGTGTATCATCTCACGTGTCAGTTCGTTATTTTTCTAACAACCGATAAATTTCGATCTCGATTCTACGTGCAACCCGAATTATCGAATTTAACATACATGTAAATGCATGTGTGTACGTGTACGTTACTTCGGCCGATAGGCGTAGCGCCAGCAAAGTGTTATAGTACCGTGAACGTTCGAGGTATTTTTTTCGAGCTCCCTTATCTGTAACGAGTCGGTCGCCTCGAGCAACCGATACACCTGAATCGCTACGATCATCGTGGCCTCGTTTGTCATACGCCTCGTTCTCATTTTTCCCTTCCTTTACTTTTTGTTTGTCCCACGATTTCCTCTCAAGCCCGGACCCTGCTTTTTGTTCCTCGACGCCTCTTCTCGGGCTTTCGTGGACCTCTGACCTCCGACGTCGCTGGAGGACCCGGGTCCATTGTACCTATTGTCAGAATCGTTCGATCGGTGTCGCGATATCGCGTTAGAGTTCCTCGGTCAGAAGCTCGATCTGGCGATAAACGAACGTTCCGACGTCGTACAAATTCACGACTCGTTCGATCGAAGGAGAGCTGCTCGAACGACCGTCCACCAGAGGTGAAAGAAGAAATGGTTCACGATCGCGAGATCGACTGATTACAGAGGAAGTTGTCACGCGGTACGATAGCAGAAGTACGTCCTGTTCACGTGTACGACAGGATCGGTAAAATGTGATCGCGTGGATCACTCGTTGTTCGTCGCGAATCGCGGGTGCGAAGCGTTTGGAAGTTCCGGGGCCCGGAAATGAACCTGCTGCGCGCGATAGTAATTGACGCGAGTGTACCGTCGTCGGTCCGGGATTGATAACGCCGTTGGCGAGGAGAAGGAAGAAAGGAAGGGTTCGATATTTGGTACGCGACACGTGGCGGTAAAACGGAACGAAGATAGGCGGTTCGGTGTTGTTTGAAATGGACTCGGTGGCGGTGACAGTGCCGCTTCGTCAGCCGACGAAGAAGATGAAGAAACGGAAGGAGCTCGACGCCCTGGCGCCTCCGCACACTGTCTCCCGCCGAAGTTCCGGAAAGCGTAGCTCCCAAGTACGTATCGATTACCCGCGAGGGCCACCAGGACGACAGCTCTCGTTCGAACATTCGTTACGAAGAATACGGGCCGGCCGCTGTTCGTCGAGAAACGATTGATTAGACTTGACGAATTTCTCTTTGACCGTCGATCACATGACAGAAAGTAATGCGTACACGCGTTTAGATGTAATCGATAGATAAAGCGTAGCGAGATCTCAGATAAATGAAATATCGAAGGGGGTGAATCGTCACGAACGAGAATCATTCTAAATGTAAGAACGTCGATGAGGGAACGGTCGACACTGATCATCCTGCATACGTTTTTAGGAGTTACTATCAGATAGCAGCGACGAACGATCGGAATACTGGAATATATCGGCCAGAAACGGCCGCAAATGCAGAGGCAGACGAGCTTGTCCTGGATTTTTTAAAGCTTGTAGTGCCTTTCTGGCTTGTGCCTCTGTATTAGCAACCGCTAGTTTAATTTGGCTGTTCATCGACGTTCGTCAGCAACTCACTGCTCTACGGACCGAACTGGACCAAGGTATATTGCATCTCGCGGAGGAGGAAGCCTCTCGAGAGGCGAACTCGAGGACGGAATTTAAATTAGAAACGCGAAAATGTGTTCGTAGCAGAATTTTTCTATTACGAGATCAAATTCATTTGTATTCTCCGCGTTACCTTCGAGAGAACATCTTTCCAATCTCATTACGTCGCGAACAAATTCTTCGGTTATGAGTTCCAGAATAGAAACGCGCGCAACGATTTACTTTTCCGTTCATTATTTCATTTCAATTCAGTCCGTTTCGTAGATAAGGTTGTATGTGCCGTAAGATCTCTGCCAAAAGTTTAAGACATCTAATAAAAAGCTGTGTCCAGTATTTGAATTACAAAATTGTCATTGTTGCATTCATATTTCTTATAAATGAAACCAAAATTTTGTCATTCGACATAAGAATTCAAGATGTAACTTTTTTAATATGCTAGCAAAATTTCTAAAATTTTACACAGTGTTTTATTAATGTAATATCTAGTAACTATTAAAATTTCAATGCCTTGTCGTTGTTTTTATGTAAGGGATCATACAACCTTAATTTATCGTTGCGTAGTACACTATGCTCGTACGTATTCGTGCATAAAATTAGCCTGGTAACACGATGTAGGTAATTTGTTTATAATGCAACCATTATGGTCGCGTGATAATGCGCTTACCGAATAAGATCGCCGGGCTCGATACGTCGGCAAATATTGGATTACTCGGTAACGGTTGAGTGGATGAAAGGCGTTAAAGAGAGGATTTATCGAGCCTTCGGGTCTAATGCCAGTGGCAATAGGGAAAATTGAAACGTCGACTCGATGGATGTAAACAGCTTACCGAATTATTTCTAAATCGATACTATATGTGCCTCGTTATAATTACTTAAAACGTCTAAAAAAAACGCACGTTCAAACGTGAATCATTGATTATAATTACATTATCTTGAAGGAAGCCACGCTCGAAGACTCGATTATTTTCTCAAACAACGATACAGATTAAAATTCGAATAGACGTTAAAGAGAAAAATGCGACAGCTATTGTTTATCTTGCAGTTATCGCCGGTAGCGAGGGTGTTCCCGACGCGCTACAGAAATGTCATTCTCTATCGAGAGATCTTCAGAACAACCAGACCATTATTTTTACCCATTTATCCGATCTCAAGTTACAAATCAATAATTTTACGACACAGGTAAATCGATCGGACATCGCGGAGTAATAATAGAATCGTGCGTACTCGACTAATTCAGTGTTATTTATCTACAGTTAGCAGTAATTCAACGCGATTTACACCGAGTAGAAGAATGGTTCAAAGCTGATCCAGCGTTAGTCAACGTGCCAACGGATCTGAAGGCGCTTTCGAGTAGCGTGGCGTCGTTTGGAAGCCAAATACAAGACCTGAGTGCCACAGTAAATACGTTAAAAGAATCAAACGCTAGATTACAAGATGCCCAAACCATTATTCAGCAGAACGTCACTGGTATCAAGGTGAGACAGACGACTTTAATTGTCTATCTACGCTCGATGGGAAACCTATGATTATCTTATGATACGTTTTGACCTGTCTATATTATAGAACACCGTGACGGAGTTGTCTAACGTTACGCAAAGGCCGCAGGTGTCAACTACGAATGAGACGAAGATAAAGACTGATGAACTGAACGCGGCGATTGTACATTTATCGGGTAACTTGGCGAACGTCAACGAAACGCTTACGAGAGCAGTGCAATGGGTGGTAGAAGATCAAAAGAAGGATCATGTAAATATTCAGGAATCGATGAATGGCGATGGGGTGAAGCCGCATTCGTTAATCGAACCTAATTTGCAGGAAACGTTGGTGGTGCTTCAAGAGACGATGCAGAACGTCAGCATGAAAGTGATATCGTTGGAGAGGGAATGCGTGAAAAGTACGGTGTTGACCACTGTTACGAAGTTGAACAGCCAAGTACGTGTGGGAAAGATTGATCGGCACGAATGTTGCTCATTTAAATCCCTGTTACTACGTTGCCTCGTTCTCTCTTTAGGTGAGCGAGATTCATGCGGCTAACATCGAGCTCAGTGAAAAAGTGAAACAGCTGGAGCAGTCGTACGATAGTTTAAAGAATTCTACGAGCGTGATGCTGGCCTCGATACCGGACGCTCAGAGGCTGGACAAAACGAAGATCTCGGAGGAGTCGCAGAGCGATTACGCGACGACGGAACGAGATCGCAATATATCAGGTAAGTCGCTTTGCCGAAGTCGCCTCGATTCGAAAGGCAAATTTGCGTTACGCAGCTCAGACATGATAACAAATATTTGCCTCTCTTATTAGAAGACCGAACGCATCGCTCGTCGCGTACGCGAGAATCAGTTGTTTTCTCGTTTACCGATGGTATTTGCTCTTTTAAATCTGTGTTTTTTCGTTTCAGCCTTAAACGAAGCGAAACAACCTGCGACAGGTAAAACGAAGCGATCGAGAAGCCCTTAACGGTTTTTGGAGAAATAATTTACACGAAGATACTTGGGCGAATCGGCTTTATCTTGTACGATAATGGAAAAAACGGAATTCTGGGTAATAGCACGAGATAGAGACGTGCGTGTGTATGTTGTAAATACTGAAGATATTAAATACGTTGAGAAATTCCATGTATGTATATAGAGAGGTAAATATTTATGACCTGAATCATGTGATCTCTCATCGTTGCTGTTAACGCGTGGGATGATCCGCGCGAACGACTCGCGCGGATTATTTTTTCGTTAAATAGAAAACGGTCTGTGAAAAATTGCGCATGATTTAGGAGGAGCTATTTATGAACGAGCAATAACGTATGCGTACGCCGAGTCATCTAGTATCGTCCAGATCGAACATCGTGTATATGAAGTGTGTATGTGTTTCGATCGTGACTAAATGCCAATTTTTAAAAGACGTCTACGATCGTATCCAATTTGTTCGGATACACCGTCGAAAAAGTACAAAGAGCGTTTACACTTGTTCTTGCGTTACGAGACATAAACGGGAAGAATGGGAAAAATTTGTAGAAACATTAAAAGTACTACTGTCCACTAAAATAATTGCAATACATTTTTCTACTCTTCTACTGTTTATAGCGCAGCGGTACTTTGCCTGCCAAACGTTAGAGAGATTAAACGATTTGCAAAAATTCTATGTATGTTCTAGCAATCGCGTCGTTCTTTTCTCTGGTTTCTATAGAACGTTCTTCGTTCTTTTAATGATGCATAAAGTAGAGAGCTAAGTACCATGTTTCACTGAAACGTTTGATTGCGGGATAGTCACCATTTCACGTTTGCTATAGAATAATCATTTTTACCCGAGATTTTTAGACGAGTAGTCGATCAAACAATCTTTAGAGAGAGAACATTAAAACAGAGGGAGATGAACGTATAAAGAATTTCAAGGGTGCACCGGACGTACTTTTCGTTAGAAAACAAAAAGCACGAATTTGTAAAGTGCATTCATCTTGAAATATCGTTTACACCAAGTATGTTAAGATGCAGATGGATTTCCTTTGAACGTATCCTCGAAAATACGTTCGTTCACAGATCGACGCATGCAAATGGAGACAACCGTATTTTAATACATGAACGAGTCGCGACCAGCGTTATTATATTTTAAATGCGCTCTAAAATCGTCTCTACGTTGTGTAATGATTTTCACGCGTAGTCAACGAGTGGACCGTAGCGATTGTGAATGTAATAATGTTTAATTCGTCCATTCTATCTAGCGTGGTACGCAACACATTGTATATTTACCGGGTGAACCGATACGTCGACGAAACAATAAATGAACATGCGATATCGGTTCATACGGGAGGGTTAAATTTATAATGAGAGAAGACAGCGTATAAACGGTGATACGTCGACGTGTGAATAAAGAATTGATTATTCAAATTTGATCATCCAAATCCTTATTCTATCTTCCTGATTCATCGTACTCTTTCGGCTTATGATTTACGATTAAATTATGGAATTCGAAACTTACAGAAAGGGAATGGCGGGCCAACGGTTTCTCTCCGGACAGCAGGGCTCAGGATCTCTCAAAAACTGAAAATAGTATGTTCCTTTGCAAATACTGTTGGAAAACGTATCTCAGGGCAACGAAGAATGATCGTTATGTATCTCACTTACGATTTTCTTGTAAATAAAAACGATTATCAACGATATTTCACCGTACTGAAAGACACCGGTTTCACACACACTAAGATTTCGGGAACGACTAACGAAACATGAATGGCGCGCGATTTTCGCGCCTGTATGAATCGATACTGATCTGTATCAGTTGATCGACTGACAGATATTTTAAATAATAGTCATATAAAAGTGGTACGATGAAAGTGAAGTAAAGTTAAATCGTGGGATATGTAAATGATTATTTAAAATCAAACCTTGTGCATTTGAAGTTCGAATTCATGCTTGCAGCTCGGATCCACTGGAAGTTGACAGAGGATCGATGGTAGCACCGAACATCGACGAATCGATATATCGACGAATTTCTAAAAAACTGTCAATCCTGATCTGATACAGTAATTAATTCGGATCGTTCTTGATTTTGCAATAGAAAAGTCAAGAAGTCGTATAAGAACGGCGATCGCATAAAGCCATGTTGAACAAGGACAAAGTTCATGCAAAATTTCTCGATCCCTCATCGACCTCGAGTCCTTCACAGTTTCTACCTCGCTACAAATAGGCTATACCGTCGTGTCCATTGAAATAAATTGGTGAAATACTCCTGATGCGATGAAAATGTACAGGCGCCGCGGGTTTTAAACCTGGACGAGGCATCGACCGATTCGAACGCGTTCCCGGCGGGATCGGTTCGCCAGCCCTGCTGCTACACCTACACGGGACTGTTACGTGGTCTGCGTTTGACATCTGCGCATTTCTCACGCTCACGCTTCCATCGCACGGTGGAGGAAAAACCAAAACAATCAATATGGCTGATCCGAACAACGAAGCTGCATCGTCGAGTAGCGTTTCGGAGCAAGCCCAATCGGCCGCCCCGATACGCGACGACCTCGAGAAAGTAGAAGATTTTCTCGAGCCGGACAAAAAGCGTCGGAAAGTGTCGCGAAACGATGGGAAAACCGAGCAAAAATTGGAACACCGCCTGGGCGGCATCCTCTGCTGCGCAGTTTGTCTCGATTTACCCAAGGCTGCCGTTTATCAGGTAAGTCTTTGTACAGAAATTTATACATGTTCGATTGTTTCCCGTATTGTTCGACGCCCGCGAACACGACGATCGAGATCACGAGATCCACGTTCGATCGTGTACACGCGAAACTTAACGGTGCTCGTCCCTCGAACGATGGTCGTTTCTTCCCGTTCGACATTTTCACCCGAGGTCGATAAGCGACTTCTTCAACGTTCGTTCCGATATATATACGTACGTGATACGTATTGTATAGATACTGCACAGTAAAAAGGAACGGTTTTTATTCGATTCACCGATCGTATCATGGCACTATTCGTTTACGTCCTCCCAAACGAAATCGTCTTTTGTTTTCGGCTTTGTTCATTTCGTAGCAGTAATTTTTACGTCCGAACGTATAGATGGATATTACGCAGTTAAATACGTAAGCGCCGATCCTGTTGTTGGAGCACGGTTCACTCACTACCATTAATTTCAGAGTAATAGTTCGTACGTAGTTCGTACATTCTTTGAATTGCGACGGTCGAACAATTGCAATGAATGGAACACAGTGGCATTCGAAGGGATCGCGTTGTTTCAGAAATTCTTGCTGTTCTTTTCTTATTACTCGTTTCTCTGATAAAATGTTTTACTGATTTTATTCGTGTTATACTTTCATTGTAAATTAACAATACTTCGTTTCTGTCTTAAATTCTTTCTCTCTCACTCTGTCCGTTTTTCCTCCTTTTTCTTTGACAATCGTTTCTAATCATTGTCAGTAGTAAAGATTTTTCTAACGTTCCAGGAAAATAATCGCGAGTCAAATTAATTCTCCTTTTAAGTTCCGTTCGGCTGACTATTTACTAGATGAAATATTTACGCTGAACATATCATTCACAAAAGTGGAACATATATATTTTCATAGCATAGAAACGTGAATAGCCGTAAAATGTTTATGCATGCATGTAAAGTAATTCTCGGTATGATGTTATATTTACAGCGGATCTCTTTTAACAGCGCGAGGAGCAAATATACCAAAGAGAATTATTGTATGTACGCATGCAACGGTCCCATTGTTTAGTAATATTTATTTACAGAAGCTCCTCCGTTATTAAATTTGTAGCATCTCATCCCACCTGTACTCGGTTTATTACATCTTATCCCCGATTCTCTCCCGCAATTTGATCAATGAAAATTATATATGTATGCCCATACATGTATATGTAACATTACTCTTTATATTCACTGTTTTCAATGAACTGTAAAACAGTAGGAGGAACATTGCGTTTATCCCATCATGATAGAGGCACATATACACGTGTAAGTTTATTTTTAGCACAAGTACGCAAGTTTTTGGACATTATATTTCTGTATTTATAGATACTACATAAATGCTTGACCTTTACGAAATATCAAAATGAAAAAGTTAAACTCCTAGCTTCATCCTTGTCGATAGTCTCAATGAAGTCAACTATGAAAATAAAGGAGAAAGAGAATAGAGAGTTTAATTAAGTGACCAAATAGTTTTTAGAATATGATATAACACTTTTTTTATGTTTATTGTAAGAAGTCGATTAAAAGAGAAATGGACTCGTCAAGCCAGACTCGCGTCTAGTTACTAGGAAGAGATAAACGGTTATTGTAGATCCATGCGGAATCGATGTTTATCAACTATGATTAATAGTGAGAGAGTGAGAGTGAGAGAGAGAAAGTGTACTACTTGCAGAAAAGAAAAATCTGTACAACATGTATAGTTGAAAAGCATTGAGTAAAATAAATATTCTTAAAGGGTTATTAGTTAGTTATTTCGCATTCGACACCCCCTATTCACTTGTCCCACGCATCATTATCCTCTTCTATTCCTGTCTATTATCGATATCGGCAGCATTAATGAAAAAAGGTGTTGTTCTCGACTTGCTGAACTTCAATTATTAATACTGCTATTACAATTTTGTGTTTCAGGTGTAAGAACATCAAATCATGGTAATATACATGACATAAGCTCTGTTATTCTGATTCGATTTAATTCGATTCAATACCAAGGGTCGTATGATACGCATTAAGAGGAAGAGGAGTAATGCGACAGCCTGTGCAAATTTTAACATCCGTCGATTCGAACGGGGAAACTATATTTTCCTATGATTAACGTTTGTATAAACTTTGCACGGAGCTGTGCATTGCAGACCATAAAATTAATGTTTTATGGGAAAAGAAATAAATAAGAAGACACTGTCGAGGATCTTAGTAATACATACTGCAAACAATGTTCACAGTGTACAAATGGACACTTGATGTGTGCCGGTTGCTTCACTCATGTCCTCGCAGATGCCAGGCTGAGAGATGAAATGGCAACGTGTCCCAACTGCAGAATCGATATCAGCAGAACCTCGCCGTCACGGAATTTGGCCGTCGAGAAAGCGGTATCCGAGTTGCCAGCGGAATGTCAATATTGCGCGAAGGAATTCCCACGAAACTCGTTGGAACGTCACGAGGAGACGATGTGCGAGGAAAGGTAATCAATGCCAGGGCTAAGGGACCGGGGGTGAACCAGCGTTAATACCCTTTGTTACTGTAGAATATCCAGTTGCAAATACAGCAGAATTGGTTGCCCCTGGCGGGGACCGAATCACGAACGTCCGGAGCACGAGGCTCAGTGTGTTCATCCGCATCGTTCGGGCTTGGACGTGATGGAAGCGTTACGCGACATCGATGCCCGTACTCTCGAAGAACGTAGGCTCTATGACAATGTCTTTGATCTTTTGTCCTACGAGAAAATCACGTTCAACGGTCTGTATTCGATTGTTATATGCATCGAGGTCCTCGAGCCTCTATATCTACCCTTCGTTCAGTCTGATTTTCGATCGAATCATTTTTATTTTTCACTTTGATTAGCAGCAACAGGAACGTTATTACCTTTTCGTCACGCTCGTCGTGTTCGAATTGTAAAATCATTATTAAGAATTGATGTTTCGTTAGAGATAGTTGAATAATCATTTTTATCTGACTAGCTCGACGACAAAAACGTAATGTGTGCTCCTCAGGGGTACGAAATTATTTGAAGTTCCGTCCTTTATAGATTTACAAATGAAACCCTATCGAACGGACGAGTTTGTTCACAAACTTTTCTACGAGACTTCCCGTTTTACGGCGTTCAACAACCAGTGGGTCGTCAAGGCAAGGATCAATAACAGTCAACGCGATCCTACTCAGAGTTCCGAAAGGGACATGACATACCAAGTACGTAAACATAAAAAGAAATTCGCGGGAGTACCGATACCTTCTCCTTTACACTTCGTTCAAATCGATTGTAGCTGATTCTGAAGACGAAAACGACGTACCCGCTACCGCTTCATTATTTGATACTGAAAGGACCGTTCGGAGACATGAAAGTACAACCGAGAATACACAAGTTCGAATTCACCGACCAAGAAAACGAAAGCCCTTATTTACCTTTACCCTTACCCGATACGGCAGAGTGTAATAGACTTCTTGCTGCGAGAGCTATTAGTTTCAGGTAAGAACGCGATTATACGTGTAACTTGGTTTTTTTTACTCGAAGGAACAAATTTGTCCGAGGTATCGCGTCGCGTCGCTAAAAAATTCGGAGTTTCTTATGTTACAGACTAATAATGTTCCTGGCATCCAAGTAATTTCAACACGGCGCGGTTGATGTTGTCAAGATTTTATGAAGAATTGATTATAATTGACACTACTTTTTAGATTTAACAGCGATAAGAATATAGAGATACAGAGATTTATAATCGATTAATTAGTAGCGTTTAACCGTAATGATAAAGTAAAGATAAAGATGCTAATTCTGCTGTAGTCTATGCATATGATACATTTCAGGAGATGTGTTACACCGCGTTATCTTCGCGATTAGTACGACACAGACGGTTTAGAAGAAAATAATTAGTCTTTTTCTGAATTAAAGGAACATACGCGATATTCAATTGTATTGATTTTCGGGAAAATTTCGTTCGTCAAACATTTTCTAATTCAATCAAGCTTTACTTAGATGATCGTCGTTGGACAAGTGTATTAAATTGTGTCGATAAACGATCGTCGCATACATGAGAAACGAAAATCGTACATTTTTCAATGAACAATTTAACGCACATGCCCATCGACAGAAGCCTATTACAGATTCTTCTATTTATGTATAAATTAAATGTTATCGATGTAAAATCTTGAATCGACATATTGTAATAGAAACAAATTGAAATAAATTTATTATAATTACGACTTGTTGTCTGCCACCCTTTACTTACACAGTTTTTACCTGTATCCTAGTTGATGAACAGTGAAACTTAGGTTTCAGAAATTTACTTCTGAAGATTCGACTAACAGAAAGAGAGAAGGAGAATACCGGTCTTCCTCCGTTGCTCCTGGTTGCTCCGGTTGCTCCTGAAGTGGAGGTTTAAAAAAAACCGACGTTTCAAAAAAGACACGAGAAACCAAATGGCCGACGCTCGAGCCAATAGAGTGGAGGCTCACGTGACCGCGCGGAAATTCAAAATTGCTCTCAATTCTACTGTCTAGATATCCAAGATACTTATTTCTTTAAAATATGATGAAACAATTCTTCTACGCTCTGTCCTTATAAAATCGTAGGATAATATTTAAACTCATCGATATCGATTGCTATCTTACATGAAATGAAATACATAGATGATAGTCCAGTCTTGTTAGAAGAGTATCAGTTGTTTAGGGTAAAATAATTAGTAAACTACGGCACATCGATAATAAAATCGTTGAATCAGGTGTTTTCTTCATTTTGTTTTTCCGTTTTCACTCATGAACATATTCATGTATGTATAAGTAGTGTCTCAGTCCCAGTTGTTCGTACTCGCACCTCGCACGTACTCGTACGGAACTGGCGCGACATTAGTAAGTAAATGACGTGTTAAAAATTTGCTGGACGTACGATATTTCGTGGCTTGTCGAATATGAGTTTCAGCGAGAGCGAAGCGATCGAGTACGAACCTTCTCTTAGAAATGTCATCGAACAAAAATCCTTGCTATGGATATTCGTTGGTGGCAAAGGTGGAGTCGGCAAAACGACGTGCAGGTATTCTCGATAACCTGAATTGCCTATGTATCATAAATCGAAACGGTCGTTTTATTCACGAGTTCCCTGTTCCTGATCGGTTTACAGCTGTTCCTTGGCCGTGCAGTTGTCGAAAGTGAGAGAAAATGTACTTATCATCTCTACCGATCCCGCTCATAATATATCCGACGCGTTCGATCAAAAGTTCAGCAAAGTTCCAACCAAGGTGAAGGGTTTCGACAACCTCTTCGCCATGGAAATAGATCCGAACGTAGGGATCACCGAATTGCCGGAAGAATATTTCGAAAATGAAGCAGGTATCTCTTCTCAACACACACCTCCCTCCATCACATAATTCTTTTGTTTGATGAGCAAATGTAGATGTGGTTGGTTTCTGGAAACAGTTTCAGGAGGAGAAGCAATGAGATTGAGTAGAAGCATAATGCAAGAGATCGTCGGGGCATTTCCAGGCATAGACGAGGCAATGAGTTACGCGGAAGTCATGAAGTTAGTAATTTCACATTGTACGCAAAAATTCGTTTGTCATTCAATGGACGTTTGAATTTCTAGGCTGGTAAAAGGAATGAATTTCTCTGTGGTCGTGTTCGACACTGCACCCACTGGGCATACCTTGAGATTACTGTCATTTCCACAAGTAGTAGAAAAAGGATTGGGCAAATTAATGCGTTTAAAGATGATGATCAGTCCTTTCCTTACCCAGGTCAGAGAGGTTTCGCATTTAAGCTGTATACGGTTAACGATCATTTAAATTATGTCTAATCGTAAGCGTGTACGATTGTAGGTAAGTTCATTATTGGGCATGACAGACTTCAATGTAGATTCGTTTTGCAATAAGATAGAGGAAATGCTCGTTATCATTCGGCAAGTTAATGAACAGTTCAGAAATCCAGAACAGACAACGTTTATCTGTGTGTGCATAGCAGAATTTTTGTCTCTTTATGAAACAGAGAGGCTTGTACAGGAGTTGACCAAATGTGGTATCGATACCCACAATATTATAGTGAATCAATTGTTGTTCTTGAAAGAGGGAGACGCACCCTGTAGGCTGTGTCACGCCAGGCACAAAATACAAGACAAATACTTAGAACAGGTAAATCGAAATGTAACGCGATGCTACTAGCATTCTTTGCCGAGAGCAACAGAAATTATGACCGTGATCTTTTTGTAGATAATGGATCTTTACGAGGATTTTCATATCACGAAGTTACCTCTGTTAGAGAGAGAGGTTCGTGGAGTCCAACAAGTGAAAGAGTTTTCCGAAAATCTTCTTAAGCCGTACAAACCTTAACGTTTCTACGAATTCCATAAGGATCTATGTAACTTGATCGTATAATCAAAAGTTTTTTTTTAATCCGAAGAAATCTTATACGTGAGGAAATTTGTATAAAGGTAACAGCTTTTGTTTATTGTATTTAACAGAAACATTTTTTTTGCGCGCGTTAAAAAACATTAAACTCTTCTAGGCCAGTTGTGCCTCTGTCAAAATTCTATTCTTCTCAATACTGTAGAATCATTTCACTCGAACAGTATACTTTCTACGAACGAGAAATACCTCAGTTAATAACTCCAATTTCTTTTCCAATGTGTATAAACGCGTTCGCAGCACGTTCTATGTCGTTCGCCGAATGCGCGGCGCTGATTTGGACGCGTATTCTCGCTTTGTCCCTCGGTACCACGGGGTAACTAAAACCGATAACATAGACTCCTTGCTCTGTAAAAAGGAAGGGGAAAAAATACAGTAATATATAATAAATAAAAACAATTTTCTACGAGAAGAGCACACGATAGAATATATACCGATCATCTTATCCGCGAATTTGCTGGCTAATCTCGCATCGCCTATCATAACGGGACAGATTGGATGATCGTCGCCGACGATCGTGAAACCTGCCATTTTCATAGTATTTCTAAACAAATTGGTGTTGCTTCTCAGACGATTCAAATACTCGGTAGAATCTGTTATCAAATCTAATACCTGTATCCCATATGAAAAGTTACCAAAGTTCTCCACATTGTTATTCTTCTATTCTGAAAATAGTGTGAGAAACAAGGAGCAATAGAGAACGTAGCATACCTTGCTCGCTGACGCGACTACAGGCGGCGGCAAAGAATTTGAAAATAAATACGGTCTACTGCGTTGCCTTAATAAATCGATCAGTTCCTTTTTACCGGTCGTATAGCCACCGGCCGCTCCACCGAGAGCTTTGCCTAACGTAGAATTAATGATATCGATACTTCCCAATTGATCGAAATATTCTTCTGTACCTCTGCAATTAAAGAAACTCTGCGATTACAAGAAGCAAGCGCTCGTAATAAAGAAATCATCGGGGTGATCGTTTGTACCTTCCAGTTTTCCCAAAAAATCCAGTAGCATGGCAGTCATCGACGAACGTTAGAGCGTTGTATTTCTTTGCGAGCTCCAGTATCTTTGACAAAGGTGCGACGGTGCCATCCATAGAAAATACACCGTCAGTAGCGATAAGTCGCAAGCGCGAAGACATACTATCTTTCAACTTGTTCTCCAAGTCTTCCATGTCTCGGTGCTTATACCTTCGATGAACACGATCATTTTACGCAGTTGAATAAAGTGCAACGATTTTATTTGCTCACCTGTGTCTCTTCGCTTTACACAATCTAATACCGTCGATGATCGAGGCATGATTGAGCTCGTCACTGAAAACCGCGTCTTCGGATGTCAACAGTGCCTCGAATAATCCAGCGTTCGCGTCGAGACACGACGCATAAAGAATAGCAGCTTCTCTGCCGTGAAATCGTGCGATCTTCTCTTCAAGTTCCACGTGAATCTCTTGTGTACCGCATATGAACCTTACGGAACTTAAACCGGCTCCGTATTTGTCTAAAGCGAATTTCGCAGCGGATATCACTTCTTTATTATCCTTAAAAAGAGAACGGTAGTAACAGTTATAGCGAAATAGATTTTATGAACTTCAACACACTTACCGCTAGTCCTAAATAATTGTTCGCACAGAAATTTAAAGCCTCTACACCGTTCGTCAGGACGATTCGTGTTCGCTGAGGGGAAGCGATTACGCGCTCCTTCTTCCAAGTACCAGCCGCCTCTATAGCTTTCAATTCCGGTACTATACACTCCGTTAAAAGGCTCATAGATCTTCGAAACATCCATTTCTCACATCTATTTTTAAATGTCAAACCTACTAAGGAACAGGTCGTACATTTAGAAACAATATTTCGGTATCGACAATGATTCAATTGTATCAGGAAATATGAAATACTTTTGTTGACTATAGAGTTCATATTCGTGACGCGTCTTTACCAGTTTCTGGTAAATCTTGATCCGTACTGAACTATGTTCTAGTCAGCAGAAGTCGTAAGAGAAAGTATAATGAACTGGTCAAACCTGTTTCCGTAGATCAGAGAAGAATAATATACGATCAAGATTTATTCTTATTTCATACTTGATAACGCGTATGTAAATTTTCGAATGGGGACACGTGGGGTAGAATAACTTTAGTCGATCATTTTCTATTTGGTTTATTTTACAAGTTTTTTTACATTTCGTATAGTCGTACTTAAATTAATAAGTATTTATTATGCTCTATCATTAAATTCATCAATTTCAGTAAACGTTTGGCAAATAGTAGTCTGGGTTTTTAAGAAGGAAACAATTCATCTGTTGTACGCGAAGTCACATCGCGATACAATTAGATCGTTACAACAGAGTTATAAAGAGAAAGATCTGCAAGTAAATAAAACTAGCGTTCTGGTATATCTTATACACAGTTCGGAATTTTCACGTTCTGTGTTTCATTTAAATTCGCCAGTCTTCGTTTTATAAATTGCATTTTGAAATCTCACTATTTGGTCTGTTTTGTTACTGTTGGTCTTAGTTATCACGTACCCTTACACATTTACCATAGAACGAGAAGTAGCATCTATCTTAACTGTGTAACTTTACTTTTATTTTCGGGATAGAGTAACGCGTGGACGAGTGTTCTCACGTGTAAAATCTAAACACCTACGTTAACGCTTACGACGTGTAAGTAGATACCCTTTGATCAAAGAATACCAGCGGATATTTTAATGTACATGTTTCGTTTCATTCTTAGACTTACGACGTTATATATTAGATTCCTCTTTTTTTAAAAAAAAAGTAGTGTAGCGACTTTTTACAATGCAACAAACGGGACGATTTGATTCGAGAGAGAGAGAGAGGTTTCATTACGTTTTATTGTTCGCGGAGAAACGAGTCGCTAAGGAATATGCGCGTGGAAAATTGTGCACGATCACATAAATAACACCCAAATACAGAATGATGGCGATTGTGAGGAAGAGATCGAACACAGCTGGCTTCACGCTGGAACAGTATATAAAACGTGGTTGATCAGAGGAATCTGTATCAGTGGCAAAGAGCTATGAAAACGCTTACCTATACACGTTCAGCGTTGCTTTTGTAACGTCGTAAAACACGAATTCCGGGTCCTGCTTGTCAGGACTGTGCAAGGCGACCTTTACGTCTCCGAGGTATCTGGACATCGCCTCTTTCAACGTGCTCACCAGCATGTTATTTTTGTCTGCTAATAACGGGGCAGCCCTCGGCTGCGACGCTAAGTAAGTAAACCACAGAGATAACGATTCCTTGGAAACATCCTGAAAAAGTAAAGTACGATCGGCGAGATAAGAACGATGCAAAAGAGATTAGATAAACGTACCAGCGGATCGACGAAGATTTGACTAGAACTCAAATTATATATATGTCTCGCTAACGCTTCCACCACTAACTGGGTGTGTTTGTACAGTCTGTCTATCTGTTTCGCTTGCATTACGTCCAATATCGATGTCCTGATCGGATCGTCATGACTCTTCAACGTGGACAGCGTCGTAGCTGGTAATCTACGGATACTGTATCTCTCGTGCTCCCAAGCCAGTGTCTCCTCCGCCAGATTTATTTTCTTATGCACGCCCTCGACGGTACTGTTCATAGATTCAGACACGGCCTTCAGTTCCCTGTAGAACATACCGCCCGTAGAATTCTCCTTCGGCGGTTTCGATACGTGCACGTAAAGATCGTCACCGGTAGACACCGTGTCTAAGCAAATGACGTAAGCTGCGTCCTGAAAATCGATAAAGTGTTAACTTTCTAAACTGGTCGACGATCGACGAGAATAGTCTAAGTGTGCGTAGTACTTGTATTATCGAGCCCTCGAGGCCGTCCAGCTGATCCTCCAGCCACTTTTTACTACCCTGGTAATTCAGTTTTCCAGCGCCGGTCATTATGAAGACGAGATTGTACTGAGGTCTCGATTTGCTAGTGGAGTACAAAATAGAAAACAATCGCGCTATCTCCAACAGCATGGCCACTCCAGATGCATTGCTGTCTGCTCCAAAAGACAACTCCTATTTATTAGCAATATCATATATGTATAAAAGATTTATTTTGAACGTGCCAACATTTATCGGAGCGTGACTATTGTGTGATCACTCACGGGTGCAGCACCGGAGCTATCGTAATGCGTGACTAGAGCTATCGTCGGCAACTTCTCTTCGGCACCTGTGCCCGTCAACTTCCCGTGTAAAGTAGCCACTTTTACGTCTGTCTTTGCCAACGCTTGCCCGGCAGCCACCACCACCTGATAACCGCTCGCAGATATGGAATTGAACATTGCCTCGGCCGCAGAGCCGGACTTTTCGTCAGTGACCGAACCGGCGGACAGGTCGTCCAAGATCGCTTGTAGATTGGGATGCCATGCAGTAAAGTATACTGGAATAGGTGTTTCAGGGCCAAAGAGCATGAACTCTTCCAAGCTCATTATATGCTGCAATGAATGGCATGAATTTTACAATGACTAAAATTCTACTTCGGCTGAATGATAAGCTCGAACAACCTGTTTCTCCTCCAGAGTCAGGTCGGTGATTTTCTCTGGCAGAACCAGTACCAAAGCACCGGCCCTGTGCCTGATGATGTGAAACATGCTCGCAGTGATGTACAAAGCATTCGTCACAATACAGTGCCTAGAGCCTCTCCAACTCATAAAGGATATCGCCTCCAGTGAAATCGGTGCACTGCGGCAACCTAACGGGAAATCGTATCAATCAGGAGTCCGACGATTATGTTTACGACGTGATCAAAAAGAAATCTCCTTACCGTGTGGCACGCCGTGCAGGTCGTATTGGTGCATTCGATAAACGGGGAATTCATGGGATGCGGCGACTGGGTTAACCGGAGAGATAATAATAAAAATCGGCAGGATTATCAATAAATAGTACGGCAGATATCCTCGGCATAGCTCCGCGAAACTGTCGCATTCCTCCAGCCACATATTTATCTGCGATTTCACTTAAACTACGTTGAGCAACCGAAGAATAGGACCTACGAATCACTATCACCACGCGACGAACTTGTCCACTGCGATCCACGACCGCGACCACCGCGACGACGACGACTCGTTCTGTTCCATCCTGTTCTATCCACAGTGGCAGGCAACTCACGCTATGTGCCTGTGTATGTGCGAAATAAACCACAGATATAAGATGTCAGGGATTGGCGCATTCTGCTGCCAGTCTGCCGTTAGATCCTACAGCAGGCCTAACGAAATCCTGTGTTTTGCAGATTTTGCTGACTGGATATGTATTATGTATTATTACATACATTTATTTGAATTATAAAGCGTTGTTCTCAATAAAACTTTACCGAAGTTTCGAAGTTTGGAATATCCTTTACTGATTGATAAGATTTCAGTGCGCCAGATTTAAACCCATCACTTCTACGTCTATTTCTATATACATATGCTTATTGTTTGCACCGAGTAGTTCCCCTCGTGAACAATAAATAATTTGAAAGTATAAAAGAATAATTACAGTACACAATCGTTCCATATTAAATGCTAAAGAGCATAATTGTCGAATTAAAGAAAAATAATTAAAAGCACGTAGTTTACAGATGAAATACTTAGCAATTATAAAAATCGTATTTAAATAGACGAATTTCTATATCGTTAAAATTTCCAAACTTTTGACATTTAATACAAGTATGAATGGTCTAAGGTATAATCGTTTATAAATAAACCACAATCTTTGTTACAGTATTTTCATTTTTAATTAAATAACGTCAGATCAGATGTGGTGCGCAGGTTTAACCAACAACAGAGATGATCTCAAAGCGAGTTACTGATTGTATCGTTACTCTTATATCGTTGAAAAAGTTATGTTTAGAAGTAGTATATTGACGCAATTGCGATTCAATCTGTTTGTAATAGATATGGAAGTAGTTAGAAGCGTATGGAAGAAACCCGTTTTGTTGTATAAGATTGGACTGCGGGCATCGCTTAGAAATAGGTATATAACGAAAGCATGGTATAACCTTAAACCTTTTTTAATACCGTACTACAATGACTAATATTACGATGTAAAACATTTCTTTTATAATGATATAATTGTTTTATATTTTCTCGTTGAATTTTACGTGTAAAATCGATCATGTAATATTTCAAAATATTGTCAATATATGAAGGATTAACCACCGGTATTTTGTTGTTTCTTTTGCACA